AAGTCGGACGCTTAACCGACTGCGCCACCCAGGCGCCCCATCTCTCCACTTTTCATACTTCTTGCGTATCACTTTTTTTTTTTAAGTTTGTTTCTCTTGAGAGAGAGAGAGAAAGCAGGAGTGAGGGAGGTGGAGAGAGAGAGAGGGAAAGAGAAGGAGAATCCCAAGCAGGCTTCGCACTGTCAGTGCAAAGCCCTATTCAGGGCTTGATCCCATGAACCATGAGATCATGCATGACCTTAGCCGAAGCCAGTCCCTTAACCGGCTGAGACACCCAGGTGCCCCTGTATGTCACTCTTTATATGGTTCACTCTGAGTGAGTCAGCCAGCTGAGACTGAGACTGAAATCATTCTGCCTCAAGATATTGAAACAGGCTATTTCCTCTGCCTGAAGGTCTTCCCAGATCTTCTCACATCTGGCTTCTTACCATTCAGATCTCAGTTGAGGGGTTACTTCTTCACAGATGCTTCCTCTGATCACCTACTCATGAGGGTCCACTCAGTGATCATCTATTACATTGTCTTAGCTCAATCATCAGCCTAACACTTGTGATGATATTTTTCTTGATTACTTTTTTTTTGATTACTTATAATATTTTTCTTGATTACTTATTTAGGATGGTTATTGTCTCTCCCTCCTAAAACATAAGTTCTAGAGGTAAAAACCTTGTTTTCCATGTTTCCATTTTTGTGTTCTTGGGGCAGAAAAAGTGTTTGGCACATATAGGAGATGCTAAATAACATTTGTTGTTTATTGAGCAAATGAGCAAATAGAATATTATTAATAGCCAAGGGTATAGTGAAAAAAACTGTCTAAGACTTAAATAAAAGGACACTTGATACTGAAAACATTTCACCCTGAACATTAGCAAGCCAGGGCGCCTGGGTGGCTCAGTTGGTATAAGCATCTGACTCTTGGTTTCAGCTCAGGTCATGATTTCACGGTTTTGTAAGTTCAAGCCCCACGTCAGGTTCTGAGCTGAGGGTGCAGAGCCTGCTTGGAATTCTCTCTCTCTCTCTCTCTCTCTCTCTCTCTCTCCCTCCCTCCCTCCCTCCCTCCCTTTCTGCCCCTCCCCTGCTCACGCTGTCTCTCTCTCAAAGCTAAATAAATAAATAAACAAAGTTAAAAAATATTAAGAAGCCAAAATCTCACCAAGACATATCCAAATTATTATATCATTTTTTAGTTGTTTATTTTCTAAATTCTGAACAAATATGTTCAGAGTGGAGACTGTATTTCCAATGCCTTGCACAGAATTTGGCACATGGTGGACGCTTAGTAAATACTTCTTGAATGAACCTCCTTCCAGGTCTAGGTAATAAAATCCAGGGTGTTTGATTTCACATAATGTGATTATAAAATAATTAGAACCTAAAGACAAATGTACTAGAATTTTGTATACTCACATGGATCTTAACCCTTTAAAAAATTTTTTTTATGTTTATTTATTTTTGAGAACAAGAGAGACAGAGCACAAGTGGGGGAGGAGCAGAGAGAGAGGGAGGAATCTGAAGCAGGCTCCTGGCTCTGGGCTGTCAGCACAGAGCCTGATGCGGGGCTCGAACCCGTGGACGGTGAGATCATGACCTGAGCCGAAGTTGGACCAGCTGAGCCACCCAGGCAGCCAGGTCTTAACCCTTTTAAAACAGACCGTGGACCACGGAGACCTTATTCCAGTGCCTCTTACATTTTCTAAAGAGGTGTTTCAAAATGTTTTCATGAAAGGTCTGAGTGCCTTTTATCTCAGGAAGGTAGAAACAAAAAGCTAAACAACACAAAATACCATCATTCAGAGATCTTTCATTGGAAAACAGATGTTTGGTTTAATAGACTGACTTTTAAATCATGAGAGATTTCTGGTGTGCCTCTATATTTGTGACTACTTTTGGTAGTTTTAGATTCTTTTGTAGAAAATCTTTCACATGAACCATATCCTTAAAGAATCCCAATCACCAAAGAAAAAGAACAATGCTTTTATTACCTCTCATTATCCTGTAACTCATAAGTCCCTTTGCTGGTTTCAGGGGACAGGCTTCCTCGCTGGGACAGAAAAATAGGTAGCAGTTGGGCTGTCTAGTTGTTTTTCGAGTGTCGAAGATCATCAGGTTACATGCTTTGTCTCCTGAAATTAAAGGTATCATAAGCATTACACTGAAATAGGATAGTCTAAAGACGATGGCAATTATTTTTTCTGCTGTCCAACACAAATACCTTTGTTCATGTTGTGCATTTGCTTGCTGACCACTAATTCGTTTCCTCTTCCTTAGTACTTACAGCAATTTGTGAAGACATTGGGTTAAAAAATCTGAATTAAGGTAATTTTGGCAAAACCCACTTTAAATAGTACATTTAATTCTTTTTTTAAAAAAATAATGCATTTAATTCTTTAGATAAGCCTTCCATTTGCTCAAATATCCATCAAAATACACACAGAAATACTGACTTTGCGATCTTTACACAACTCACAACTGAGTTGGAACTTAAGAAATGGATCTAACCTAATGATTTCATGTATCTCTCATATCCCAAAGGCAGACACCTATATCAGACACCTATGAAGCCATGAGTCTGGCTTTCTTGAGTAGAGTCCCTAAATTTAGCATCACACCATCATTGCCCCCTTCCACAAAGGACCTGAGTAGTGTATGGAGGACAAAGTCTATGTTTTACCTTTATCAGTACCATTCTTCTTTTGATTTTTCTTCTTCACATTTCTTTTTTTTTTTTATTTTTTTTTTCAACGTTTTTATTTATTTTTGGGACAGAGAGAGACAGAGCATGAACGGGGGAGGGGCAGAGAGAGAGAGGGAGACACAGAATCGGAAACAGGCTCCAGGCTCTTAGCCATCAGCCCAGAGCCTGACGCGGGGCTTGAACTCACGGACCGCGAGATCGTGACCTGGCTGAAGTCGGACGCTTAACCAACTGCGCCACCCAGGCGCCCCTCTTCTTCTCATTTCTATTCTTCCTTATTTCTGCTTTTCCATTTTCCTTCCTTTCAAACTTTTTACTCTTAACTTTCATTTCTTGCTTCTTTTTCTCTTCCACCTATGCCCAGTAGAAATCATTCTTTCTATTCATCATGGTCTAGAGCTGGCTTTGGTCTCAATCTGGTGCCATCTCACATCTTGGCCTAAGACCCTTGAGGGATCAGTATACCCCTGGTCAGGATAAGGTTTTGTTTTGTTTTGTTTTAATGTTTTATTTATTTTTGAGAGAGAGAGAGTGAGCAGCCAAGGGGCAGAGAGAGAGGGAGACACAGAATCTGAAGCAGACTCTAGGCTCTGAGCTGTCAGCACAGAGCCCAACGTGAGGCTCGAACTCACAAACTGTGAGATCATGACCTGAGCCAAAGTCAGACGTTTAACTGACTCAGCCACCCACATGCCCCAGGATGAAGGTTAAGAGGCACATAGGCTAATTATTAAAAATGCATGCTCTTTCTAAACACACACACACACACACACACACACACACACACACACCCATGTATTAACTAACCTTGTTGTAGTAGTCATTACACAATATATACATGTAACATATCATCACACTGTATATATTTTCACAATGTTACATGCCAAATATATCTCAATAAAGCCAGGGGAAAATATTCTGCATAACTGGCCATCAGCACAACTTCTTCAAATCAGGCAATGGTGAGGATCAACCTTGACTCCCGCATTTGGAAAGAAGATTCAGTTAGTTTCTGCAGGGGTTTTAGGCAGAAAACCAGGCAACAAGAAAGGTACTTTAGTTTTTCCTTTCTCAGCAATGGGATAATTCTGCAATACCATTTTTGGGGGGCATGGAGGTAAAGGGAAAGGTCCATAAGCCCCCCAAGTTGTATGCAAAACTTTGTGTCCTTTGTACTTCTTTTTTCTTAATAATTCCTTTTTTTAAATAATTTTTTTAATTTAATTTTATTTTTGAGAGAGAGAGAGAGAGCAAGCAGGGGAGGGGCACAGAGACAGAGAGGGAGACACAGAATCCAAAGCAGGTTCCAGGCTCCGAGCTGTCAGCACAGAGCCCGATGCGGGGCTCAAACTCACGGACCATGAGATCGTGACCTGAGCTGAAGTTGGTCACTCAACCAACTCCGCCACCCAGGCGCCCCTGGGCATCTTTCTAAAATCTGTGGTTATGAGCAAATTATCAAAGCACTTAAAGACCATTGCTCAATAAATGAAGAAACAGTCTGAGATCCGTTAAAGGAGACCCACAATTATCTCTACTTACCGTAAAGCAGTAACAGTAGTTCTGCTTATACAATAAAACAGCAAACCCTCATTTCTCACTAAACACCCATTACGGAGCTGAAAAGAAATGCAAGGTTTCCTGTGTTGCCAGCAAACACCCACACAGCATTCAGTACTGTTTGCAGATGATTTGCTACTTCACATAAATGTTGATACCAACATTTAAAGAAAAACTGGAAATTTAAATTAAATCTCTGTAATTTCCATAAATTACTCCTATAGAGAATATCAAAGCACACTGCTGAGTTTGAGAAAACCATTGAAAGTTTTTTTTTCCTCCTGACGTCAAATATGTGGTATCTTTTCCACACTAATACTCCAATTCTCCAGGGCACTGACTCAATGTCTTATGATTCGATTCAATTCTTACACTAACTACCTGGAGTTAGCATCAGATTCCATAGGTTTGAGGGCTCAGTCCTGTAAGACTGTCCTCACTTAGAGGCCAGTCAAAAGTATCAGCTCCCAGGTTACTCACGCTTCTGCCCGAATTGGCCATAAATCCAGGCTCCCACCACCCCTACTTCAGGTTTGATAATTTGCTAGAACTACTCACGGGACTCAGGAAAAGGCTATACTTACTATGATAGTTTATCAGTGAAAACACAAATGAATAGCCAAATGAAGTGTACATAGGGCGAGGTCCAGAAGGGTCCTGAGTGCAGGAGCTTCTGTCCCGGTATACCTGGAGTGAACAATCCTCTTGCACATGTGGATGTGTTTGCCAATGTGGAAGCTCTCTAAACCTGTGTTTAGGGATTTTTTTATGGAGATTCCATTATGTGGGCACAGCTGATTAAATCATTGGCCACTGGTGACTGAATTCAATCTCCAGCCCTTCTCCTCTACCTACAGGTGGGGGTGGAGCTGAAAATTCCAAATTTCTAATCAAGGCTGGGTCTTTCTGGTGACGAGTTCCCATCCTGGAGCTACCTAGGGAGCCACCAACAGTCGTAACTCAGGTGTGGTTGAAAGGGGCTCATAATGAATAACGAAAGAAGCTCCTAGGCTCAGGAAATGGCAAGGTTTTTAGGAGCTCTAACAGGAACCAGGAACCAAGATTATATGCATACATTTCTGACTATACCACACCCATTATACAAAGAAGAGAAACCAAAGATATAAGAGAAAACGTATGATTCGGTTGGCCAGTAAGTCAGGTAAGAAGCATTACTCCAGTGTTGACTAGCTCTTCTAGGCTCCTTGATGGCAAGGCCTTGTCCATGTTATTCATTGTTTTGTCTCCAGCATTCAGCAAGGCATTCGGTGCTCAATAAATGTAGTGTGGGTGTTTTTTTGTGGTTGGTTATTTATTTACTTTTCATTTAGGGAATTAGGACAGGGTCATAAACAACTGAAAAATGACCACTGTTTCTCTTGGATAAATATTTCTCAAGTCTGGAACTTGAAACATGCAAAGGTATGGCTCAGACCTGTGAGCCTCTTTCCTCTGTGTCATGTGACTGGGTCAGTCCAAACAACTTCCCATGTCCCTTAAGGGTTTTTGTTTCCAGCATCTTAGATGCCTATTAGAACATAACACCAGTGGTTCTCAACCTTTTTTCTACCTACACACCTGGGTGATATACACACACACTCATCAGTAACTTTGACCCAGCTTAGGGGAGGGGAGGACACACTTGTGGCACATGTTCCCAGTGAATTTGTTACCCACATTTCTACCCCATTGAGAATCACTAGGATAAACTATGCAGCCAGATCAGCCAGCTACTTATATCACAAAACACTTAAAATGAAGAGTTGCCAAGGGACTATTACTTACCTGTTATGTTTTTCGTTGAACAGCAAGAATTAATGCAGTCTTCCTGAGTTAATGTATGTACAGGTTCATTACCTCTAATTCCCTTTGAAAGAGATGACTGGATGTCAATGACAACATCTTCTAGACTCTTCGTGTGGCAGTTCTGACTGGTGGACAGCCTCAGTGTCAGGAAGCAAATTACCACAAAAGTGTAACTCAAGCCCCATTCTTCCCTAAAGGACATTTTAAATTTCAATTTAGCCTAGTCTTCCAAGGTCAAGGATAATCCTCCCTCTGGTCTGAGTTTGCTTCAAGAAGATTGTACAGATCATGGAATTTCTCTCTAGAACAAAAATAGAAAATCATCAATGAGTTTTGTTTCTTTTAATAAATCTCACGAAGATACATTTCATTTCCTACAAGTCAATGTCAACAGCTCATGATTTACAAAACAGAAATAAACAAGCATTTTTTATGTTTCACTTTTAATAGATCAAGACAACCTTCATTAAAAACTTGGTAAAGAACTAATTAGCACAAATATGTATACTATCCCATCAGTGCTTAAAAGCTGACAAATATCTATGAAGGAAGAGATATAAACAAGAGGCCTACCCCCAAAGTTCTAGAATCCTTCCTCTTCTTGCTTCTCCTAACCAAGAGCGGAGAGGACACAAAATCTCTAGCCTCTGATGAAGCAGTGATAACAGGCTTGGGCAGAGTTTCTTTCTCAGTATTAACAACCAGCATTTTAAAATCACCTACTAGGTGGTAGGCAATGTGCTATGAAATATACATATATTATCCCATTTAATCCTGATAGTCGGTCTGCAAAAAAAAAAAAAAAAAGAGCTACTATTTCCCTCATTTTATAGATGAGGAAGCTGGGGCTGCCTTTCTTGTGGCTGCCTCTCCTTAAGTATCAAATCAGAGACAGGTAACTCTAATAATCTAATTCTAAGAGTTAGCTGGTCAGTAGAGGGAATTCATTCATTTTGAGAATACAAATTGTTCACTGAACCATACTGTAGAGCAGAAATACTTCCTCTTCAATCTCATTCTCCTCCTCCTCCTTCTTCTGTCATGAACCCGAACCCTTTGGTAGTCTGGTGAGGCTTAGGATCTTTTCTGAGAGACAGAAAAGTTTTTTTGTTTTTTTTGTTTTTTTTAGCTGGTCAACTCAATCTTGGAAGCCAATTTATTTACAAACAATCCATCTACCACCATGAGAAAACAACTGTGAAAATTTTAATTAGTACAAAGCTCAGAAACTCCATTTAGGTTCAACAAGCATGGCTATGGTGCTAAGCAAGTCGTCTTTTTCCATAAAGTGAGTAAAAGGTCAGTTTCACAGAGCATAATGATCCTTGAAGCAGCAATCCTCAGATTTCAGTATGGCCCTGTATGTTTTTAAATAAGCAAGGCTAGAATGAGCAATAGAGTTTTTAAGAGTATGTTGAGTGACTGGGGCGCCTGGGTGGCGCAGTCGGTTAAGCGTCCGACTTCAGCCAGGTCACGATCTCGCGGTCCGTGGGTTCGAGCCCCGCGTCAGGCTCTGGGCTGATGGCTCAGAGCCTGGAGCCTGTTTCCGATTCTGTGTCTCCCTCTCTCTCTGCCCCTCCCCCGTTCATGCTCTGTCTCTTTCTGTCCCAAAAATAAACAAACGTTGAAAAAAAAAATAAAAAAAAAGAGTATGTTGAGTGACAGATGCCAATTATATTAAGTGATCTGAACTAATGTGCATAGGTAACCAGATACTTCACATAGGTAGAATATTAATGCCATAACCAACCCAAATGGCCCCCCGTTTGATCAAGACTACTAGATTCTCTAGAGGAGCAAGAAGTGAACTTTCTCAACTTACCCTATTCAATACTTTTTATTGGTGCAATTTCTACTAAAGCTTGTGGTAGAACTACCTACCATCAGGGTAAATGCTGTTGCCTAGAACAGGACTGCAATTAATATTAGAATCAGCACACGGAACTTGACATGAAAAATCTAGGTCAAGAATCTATAGAAGGAGTCTCAGTTCAAAAGTGAATTGTACAGAGACTTAAGTAAAAACCACGTCAAAGAATATGTGAGCCTTAAAGTTAATAATGTCTCGGAGATGTAGCATGTTAAGAACGCACCGACACTACATAAATAGTGAACAAAGAACAGAAAAAGGTTTTTTGACTAAAGCGGGGGAGACAGTAGAAAAATATTTACAAAAAGTGTTCAGAATAAGGTAACATTTAAGGAAAACATAAAAATGAGGGGTGCTCAGTCAGCTGAGTGTCCAACTCTTGATTTCAGCTCAGGTCACCATCCCAGGGTAGTGGAATTGAGCCCTGTGTCCAGTTCTGTGCTGGGTGTGGAGCTTGCTTAAGATTCTCTCTTTCTCTCTCTGCCCCTCTCCCCTGCTTTTGCGCACTCTCTTCCTCTAAAAAACAAAAAACAAACAAACAAAAAAAACCTATAAATTCTTTAAAAAATAAATTAATAAAATACATATATATAATGAAAAATGAAATATATTAGGATTATGAAGGAAGTCAGTTATATGAAATATAATTATCAAAGTAGTTTTTAAAGTGTGCCTAGAGGGGAGTCTGGAAGGCTCAGTCAGTCAGGCCTCCAACTTCAACTCAGGTCACGATCTCATGATTTGTGAGTTTGAGCCCAGTGTCCAGCTCAGTGCTGACAGCTCAGAACCTGGAGCCTGCTTCAGATTCTGTGTGTGTCTCTCTCTGCCCCTCCCCTGCTCACGCTGTGTGTGTGTCTCTCTCTCAAAAATAAATAAACATTAAAAAAAATTTTTTTTAATATGCCTACAAAACGCTGATGTAAAATATCAAAAAACAAAACTAAACTAAATAAGTGGAGAGATGGTCCATGTTCATCAATATTAAGATGTCCATTCTTGGGGCGCCTGGGTGGCTCAGTCGGTTAAGCATCCGACTTCAGCTCAGGTCATGATCTCACGGTCCATGAGTTCGAGCCCCGCGTTGGGCTCTGTGCTGACAGCTCAGAGCCTGGAGCCTGTTTCAGATTCTGTGTCTCCCTCTCTCTCTGCCCCTCCCCTGTTCATGCTCTGTCTCTCTCTGTCTCAAAAATAAATAAACGTTAAAAAAAAAAAATGTCCATTCTTCTCAACTTGATCTATAGATTCACTGCAAAGTTTTGATTTTAAAGTTTACATGAAATGCAGAAAGGCCCAGAATGGGCAACATGATGCTGAAAAAGAACAAAATTGGAGAACTGACACTACCTAACTTCAATACTTACTGCAAAGTTACAGTAATCAAGACAGTGTAGGGGCACCTGGGTAGCTCAGTCGGTTAAGCGTGGGACTCTTGATTTCAGCTCAGGTCATGATCTCACCATTCATGAGACTGAGCTCTGCATCGGGCTGTGCAATGACAGCGCAGAGCCTGCTTGGGATCCTCTCTCTCTCTCTTTCTCTCTCTCTCTCTCTCTCTCTCTCTCTCTTCCTCTCTCCCTCTCTCTCTCTCCCTCTCCCTCTGCCCCTACCCTGTTCGTGCTCCCTCTCTCTTTCTCTCTCCCTCTCTCTCTCTCTCTCCCTCTCCCTCTGCCCCTACCCTATTTGTGCTCTCTCTCTCAAAATAAATAAACTTAAAAAAAAAAAAAAA